TATAAGCTATTGCCTATATATGTTATAAAGAACTTCCAAACACATTATGCACATTGACAAGTGCCAAGATCTGCAGAGTGAGTCAGCAAGCCAGAGACCCAGGAAAGCTGATGGGGTATCTGAAAAGAAAATAAATCTTGGAACCCCCAAATCACTGAGCTAAAGGGAAAAGTCAGATTCAGAACTGCCTAGGGCAAACCTGCCTCCCATTTTATTCAGTCATCCCTCTGCTTACTGAGATAAAAGCATATCTGATTGCGTCATTTGGAAAAGCTAATTAGAAACTCTTATCTACCTATGCCTTGGAACCCCACTCCCCTCTTTGAGTTTCCCATCTTTGCTTCCAGTTGTCCCACCTTTCCATACCAATCCAATGTTCACCTTACATATATTGATTGATGACTCACATCTCCCTAAAATGCATAAAACTAAACTGCGCTCTGACCACCTTGGGCACATGTTGGCAGGACCTCCTGTGTGCATACTCAAGGCAAAATCTTTCTAAATTGAGACCTGTCTCAGATATTCAGAGTTCATAGGTAGTTCATTCTAAAGGCTGGTAGGCTTCAGGCCCTCCAAAAAGCCAATGTTTCAGATTAAATCCAAAGTCAGGAAAACTTCCTTCTTCCTTGAGGAAGGGTTGGCCTTTTTGCTGTAATCAGGCCTTCAATTGATAGAATGAGGCCCACTCACCTGAGGGAGGACAATCTACTTTACTCCATCTACTAATTCAGATGTTAATCTCATCCAGAAACACCATCACAGACACACCTAGAATAAAGTTTAAACAAATATCAAGGCACCCATTGTCCCAGTCAAGCTGACACATAAAATAACCATCACATTATTAGACAAAAAAAGCTATTAAATATGTGAATTTTCAAACAGCAGAATGTTATAAAAATATATTTATGTTATAAAATAAAACATGAAACTAGCCTTGCTGACAGCTTGAGGATATTCAGTGGCATAAAACCACAAGCACTTAGCCAAATACTTTCCTTATTTGTAATTTCAAAAGAAGAGAATAAGTTAAATAAAGCTTCTGAAAAAGACCAGGCCCAAATTTTAGTTAAATAATAAAAGCACATTACATAACAATTGTTTTGTATAACAAAATTCCTAACTGTATGCTTTGGGAACTGACTGGAGAGGCTGAAGAGCATCTACTGTCATAAAACCACAGGCCCTTGGTCGGGTTATTCATTTCCTCACCTGTGACTTTTAAGAAAATTTATGAAAAAGAATCAAGACCAGAATATAAACATCTCAAACCTACTGATGTATTTTCTCCTTTTTCTTTGCCCCAAAATTAGACTCAGTGGTTTGGAATTTTAAAACCTCAAATCAAGAATGACTTTCCAAGGAAATGTATCCATGGTTCCATTAAATTAGAAACTGACACTGACCTATTGTTCTCTGTCCATTTTCATCTCCTTGGCCCCCAAAAAACTGATAATTGAGAAGAAATTACCATACTTAAAGAGTGAGTGACTCATCCAGATTACCAAAAGGAATTTGGGTTGCTGCATTACAATGGGGAAAAGACTACTTCTGTAACTGAGGAGATTCACTGGGGCGTTGCTTAGCACTCCCGAGTTCAGTTCTAAAGCTCAATGGAAAACTGATGCAACTCCATGAGAACATCACCTGCAAGGACTCAGATCCTTTGGCAATGAATGCTTGAGTCACCCTCCCAGGTAAATATTCACCAGAAACTTGAGCTGCCTGCAGAGATTCAGGAGAACATGGAGTTGATGTCACAAGAAGAAAAGTGAGAATGCTTTCTCCCTATGATTTTCATGATTGTTGAAAAAGTACTGGTGATCATTAAGGTTATAATTTGGGTTACAGATGGGACTATGATTGGTTTAACATCACCCCATGATGATATGTGGACTGACAGGCTTTTGTGTCTTCCTTATGTTGTGATGAGTGTTTTCTCATCTGAGTAAATGGCAACAGTAGATGAATTTTAGCGATTGACGATAGGGATGAAGTGTGTTGGTTATTTTTGTTTTGTCCACCTAGATATATCCTGTAACCTATTCTGCATGCTATGTGACCTAGGAGGCTGAGGTTGTAGACTACATTATCTGGGCTTTCTTGCCTTTAGCTAATAGTTGGGTTTAGACAGTGGTAGGCAACTGCAAGAAATCCAAGAGTGGGAGGAGAGATGCCAACCCCATCAAAAGCATTACTTGTCACTGTATCTCTGGCAGTGGCTTTCTCACTCAACAATTATAGCTGCTGGTTAGTGGTCCTTCTTTTTAAGTGCTAGCCAATAACACTATTTCTTCCCCTTGCCACTGAAATGCCAGGTTTCCTAAAAACTTCCCATTTTTGCTGATCCAAACAGCTATGTGGTATCTTCTCTCTGCCTACACATATGCAAGTGGTTCCTTTATTAGAGTATGACTACTTGAACTATTTGATTTAAATTCTGTTTGCTGTTAGGTCCCAAGTTGATATTGCAGTATATTTTTTATATCGTTGTGTAGCAGATTCCTGTGGTGGTCTCCCTGTATCTTCTCCGCTCTCATCTCTAAATCTCAAGGCTAGTTACTAAAAACATCCATGACTCTTGGCTCTGCAGAGCTAAGTCTCACCTTTGCATCGACAGGGCTACTTACTACAAATACCATGACTCTCTGCCTTAGGGGCTTTTTTTTTCTCACCTTCGGAGCATGCTGGACATCAAACAAAGCAAGGTGGAGGTGACAGAGATTTATATCACCCCTGGGGGAAGTCCTTTAACAAGTATGGTTGGGTATTTGGTGGCTAAATATCCCCAGCCTCTTCACTCTACACTTGGGATGAATGTGAGGTATATGATCTACACCGCCTCCCACAGGGTCCCCCTGGGAATTACCTCCAATTGCCCACAGTGGTAACCTGCTAGTTTGTTCTCCCCACCCTTGATTGGCTGCCTTCCTTGTATGTCTCATGATCCCACACCCCTACCAGTGCAATTTGGGACTCCCTCTCAAATAAGCACTTTCTACTTACAAGTGTGTCTCAGGGTCTATTTCCAGGGAAAGCATACTTGAACATCTTGCATGGTAATTTACCCTCACACTTGAATGTCTGGCCAAGAGTAATGTAGGCTCAAAGTTATTTTGCACCAACAATTGAAAGGCAATTCTTTATTTCCTGGGCATTTCTAGTTGCTTCATTAACTCTCTTTCTCTTGAAAGAACTCCCTCCCCACTCTACAAACCACACCCATTTTAAATTCACTTTTGATTCCAGCTTTTAATCACTGTCTCTTCCAAACATCAAGAGAGACAAATCAAGACCTCTAAGTGGGCTCCTTAAAGTCCCCTCCTGATAGAAATTTAGGGCTTCAGGGCCTCTTCACATGTCCACTCAGCTGCCCTTCCAGCTTCTCTAAACAGGGCCCTTCTTGACTGCAGCACCCCCAGACTCTGCAACATTAGTAAACACCCTTTCAAGGGGTAGCAGCTAGAGTTCATCTGCCTGTGAACTCCGGTAGCACACAGATGGCTCAGAAGTCAAGAAACCATGTGAACGAAAGCCATATCCAACCAAAAGCAACACAACTTCCATTTGTCATGGTTGCATCAAGGGAAGGATTTATTGATCCACACTATTTTCTTGGATTTTTCAATACTACCTGAAGGGCAGAGGTAGGTCAATGGCATGGTGTGTTGGCAAAGGCCAGCTCCACTCTGGTGTGGCTTGTGCCAGCGTCCACAGCGACTGTGTCAGATCCATATCATTTCTTTGATTCCCAAGCTGTCTACTGAGTAAAATGCTCAGCAAAGATTTAGTGGCTAGGCTGGGTCGTAAGTATACATCCATCTTCCTCCTGATGCTCCATGCAGATGTACTGGGACCGACTTCAGAGTGTCCTTGAGCCATGACTGCTTGACTCCATAGATGGCTTCAGGAAGACAGCACAACAGAGAGACAAGTGAAAGTTGATGGAATCCAGAATTACCTGAAAGAAAAAACACCAAGTAGTACTGGAAACCCCTCTGCACTTCCGCTTCCTAACATAGACACACACACAGACACACACACACACACACACACACATACACTTGACCAAAAGACTTGGCTTTGCATGAATATATTTCTAGAATCTCTATGTTGGTCCATGGACATGTCTATCAATTTCTGTTTCATTTACTCATCCTACAGGGTAAGTTTCGAGTCCAGAATGACAAGCTCTCCGTCTTACATAATCCTTCCCATGTTTTGTAGTATAATTTCGTCTGGTCTTCCAGTTACACAAACACTCAAAATCATGCTGTGACTTATGATTAGGATTGCACTGGATTTACTGATTTATTTAGAGGAGAATTGATACCATTGCAAAAATTGTTCTTTATTTTCAGAAAAATGTAGTATTTTAAAATTTTATTTGAATATTCAAACTGGAAGCTTATAAAAGGTTGGATGTGTGTTTTCCTTATAAGTGTCATCATTTTTCTAGGTGTTTCATAACGATTGTGACCAACGTAAGTATGATATTTTATTTCTATTATATTCCCTATTTATTGGAAGACTACACAAATTTATAATTTATTTACTTTTGTTGTAGAGATGGGATCTTCTTATGTTGCCCAGGCTGGTCTTGAACTCCCGGGCTCAAGCAATCCACCCCACTCAGCCTTCCAAAATGCTGGGATTATAGGCATGAGCCACTATGCCTGGCCTACTATGCTAATTTTTATGCATTTAACTTCTACCAGTCAGCCTCTCCTGGCCTACTTCCTCAGTGATTGCCTTGGTTTTCTAGAATGTCAGTTCCTTAAGAGAAAGACAGTTTTCCACTTTCTTTGTTAATAAAATACTCTATACCAATAAGTTATCTTCCCTCTTCAAATTGTTTAGGACACTGAATATGGCCTCAGGATCTTTACATGATTCTATGTGGGGTAGAAGAAAACCCGGAGGACTGAGGCTTCTCTCCCTCAGGGAAGAGAAAGAGAGTGTGTGACCTGGGTCCCTTTACAGGAACCTCAGTTTTCTTGGTTCTTACATAAGACTGAGTGGACAGCCAGTGTGGAGGCAAGCCATGTCTCTTCATAATAGTCATTTTAGTTTCTCATGAGAACCATACTACAAAAAACACAAAATTCTGTCCTTACCGTTATCCCTCTGTGTGCTGGTTAATACTGAGTGTCAACTTGATTGGATTGAAAGATGCAGGGTGTTGATCTTGGGTGTGTCTGTGGGGTGTTACCAAAGGAGATTAGTGTTTGAGTCAGTGGGCTTCAAAAGGCAGACACACCCTTAATCTTGTGGGCACAATCTAATCAGCTGCCAGTGAATATAAAGCAGGGAGAGAAACGTGAAAAACTGAGACAGGCCTATCCTCCCAGTCTGCATCTTTCTCCCGTGCTGGATGCTTCCTGCCCCTGAACATCAGACTCCAAGTTCTTCAGTTTTGGGATTCTGACTCTCCTTGCTTCTCAGCTTGCAGACAGCCTATTATGGGATCTTATGATCGTGTAAGTTAATACTTAATAAACTCCTATATATAATAAACATATATATGATATATATGGTTATATAAGATATATATATACATAAGATACATATGTGTGTGTGTGTGTGTGTGTGTGTGTGTGTGTGTGTGTGTGTCTTATTAGTTCTGTCCCTCTAGGAGAACCCTGACTAATAGATTTAGACAGCCTGGAAAACCATGCCCTGCATCTAGACAATAACCACATGGGTCACACTTTAATGGCAACAATATAGTAATTCTAGATCAGAGATTTGGAAGGGACTATGTCTTGAGACATATGAGTGCTTCTCAAGGAAATGGACCAGTTTTAGCATATGATTTTTTGAGGCATTAAAAGCCCATCTACATTCCAGGTTCACATAATAAAAATGTGGAGCTCCACTGCACTGAGCTTTTGGAGGGGGTTAGACAGGTGTGTGAGGCACAGCAGTGTCAAATTGCAGTGTTTAATTACTGCAACTAAATACTCTGTTTACATGGATTGTGTAATTCATGAAGGAGTAATTGCAGTCACGTCCAAGGCTGGATGCAGAGATTGACAAGTAAGTGGGAAATTTGACCTGGGACTAATTCCCTGATTGGAACATGGCGGACAAAGTTGGTGATCACTACCCAGGGAACCTGGCTAGACTCAGTGGGTGCTGTTAATCTACACAAAGAAGGAATTTTAATGAAGGAATGAAGGGCTTTTGCATAAGCCAGGGACAAGCTCTGAGGCCAGGAGAGCTGAGTGTTTCATCTAGGAAAGAGATATGCAGATGGCACTCAGCCACAGGATGTACCTGCTTCCTCACCCAGCAACTTCCCTCACCCTATTGAGCCCTGAACCAGGAAGAACCCAGGTGATGGTGGTTTGAATCTTGAGGACAGTTGGCACTAGGTTCTGAGGATTATTATGAGTCACCATAGTAACCATGACTTCACTTGGTTCTGAACCGATCAGGCTCTGGGACTCAGGCAAAGAGAGAGAGTGTGCCAAGGAAGGAGGTCGTGTTTCCTCTCACTGTTTACCCTCCGGTCCAGATTTTTCTTCAAAAGAAATCTGAGTGGTCTGACAGGTAAAATATCCTGATATACCAAGATTATACAGCGTCTTTCTGTGCCATTACCTAACCAATCTATCTGTTAAACCCCAACCCTGTTTGATAATTGGGGGAGGGTGTGGGAGAGTCATTTGTTCAAAGTGATACAGAGACACTATAGAGGAGTGTGTAGGAGCACAAGGCTTCAGATACAGGTTTTCCCAGTTCCAGTCTCACCTCTCTGTTACCTTGGGCAAGTCCTTTAATCTTGCTTGGGAGCCCAAAAGTGAGAACACAGTGGGCATCCACCCCTGGCCTTGGCAATGTGCCAGATTCAAATAAAATACCACCCAGCACTTTTCGAGGTGAGACAGGGTCACTTTTTGAGGTGAGACAGGGTGAGTGTAATCTTTAAATCACTGATATGACGATCCCAGGATGGAAACTCAGCAGGATGGGCCTCAGAAACAGAAGCTAGGCAGCATTTGAGAATGTACAGTTTATTTCTTCCATGGGGGGTTGGAGTAAGATCTATACCTGCTTCAGCAATGATTTTCAAAGGAGGCAGAGGTGAGAAGAAGGCAGCTCTTCAAAAGAACAACATAAATCCAGTTAAAATTAGCGTGGCTATAAGAATCCTCACTAAAGACTACTGCTGTACTACTGTTGGTAGCTGTGACTACTGCTGGTGGCTGAGTATGCGTGTGTTTGTGTGTGTGTGTGTGTGCGCGCGCATGCGATATGTGGTTGTGTGGGTGTGTGGCAAGTGAGGAAGAGGTCCCAGGTCCACTTGATTACCTGAAAATCATTATCCTTTTCAGGCTTTCTTAGTTAAGCTGTCTTCCTGAGTTTGTTTGGAGCCACCGCGTCATGGATAAAGAACTCCCTAAAGCCGCTCCCAGAGAGAGCACACTGAACATCAAGGAGCCTGACAAAGCCTTCAAATGCAAGAAGCCCACCAAAAACGTGCTGATCTTTTTAATCGACAGACAACGGGGCAGGCCCAGAAATGACATCGACCTGTCAAGGTGGATATGGATGCTGTCATAAAGCAACTCCAGGGTGAAAATGGCCTTGGACAAAAAATCGTGGGGCTTATGTGCTGAGACCTGCCCAAAATAAACATAATCAGAACAATAAAGTCATCCCATGTTTGAGCCATTAAAACAGAGTCTGTCACTTCATTCCTTTGGGTTAGATGTGTGTTTGCTGACCAGGCGTTCTTGGGTTACACTGGAAGGGATTTCTGTTCATCCTAACACGCTGTGCAGGGGTGCTCAGACTCAGGGGAGAGGGTGAGATCATGCTACACACCAGATCTCCCTCACCATCAATCTGAAAATCACTGTGAAGTTGAAGTGATGTAGTACTGGGCATTCAAGGACCAAAGACTCTTCTCCCTAGCCATTTTGGAGAGACAGCCCTGGTGTTCCCCTCTAAAACCTAATGCTTGTCCTAGTGAAAAGACATTGTTTAAGAGCAGACCAGCAGCTGGGCTAGGGGTTTGGGGTGTGTTTTAACATTGCAGATATCACGGCCACAGAGCGTATTAGAGGCAATTGCTCTGCTTATTGTCCCCAGGAAAGTAGAATGCCCTGGTGGCTTTTTTTTTTTTTTTTTTTTGGCATGTCAAACAAACCTTCAGGCTACAACCAATCAAAGAGAATTAATTTTCCTGAAGGGAAGCCACCCGATATAGTCCAACAAGACACATTAACTCCCATTCAAAAAGCTCTGTCCCTAAGGAATGTGCTGAGGAAGTCACATACTCACTCCAAGAAACCTGAAATGGGAATTATGTGGGCAATTTGTCACTAAGAAGTGAGAACTAACGGTGAATTGGGGACAGGCAGAGCAAAGAGGTCGGAGCCATGGTGGATATTGGCAAGCCTAAGTTAGGAGTAAGATGAAATTTACATAAAGTGAACCATAAAAATGTTAACTTACATAAAATCACAGTGTATAAATTTATGAAAGGGGAGAAGGACACTCTATTTCTTAGAAAGTGTTGCAGCTTACAAGGCAGCCATGCCACAGACTGGGAAGTGTGCCTCTGACCAACACCACAGACCAGTACTTGGAAGGAGGAGGGATTGGAGCAGGAACTTTATGCTGAATGAGTTGGCTGAACATCCAAATTCTACAAATTACAGGAGGAGCCATAAATAATCATAAAGAGGATCCTGATGCATTCATTTACAAGAAACATCCCTGTAACATACCACCCATGTTCACCTTGGGGTGCAGACGTAATTTAAGTGTAAGACATTCAGGCCCTATACGGTAACAGCTCTTTCAGGGCACATAGGCACACAATCTCCCAGCCAGAGCCAGTCCGTGGTGGGTGGTTTCTTTTTGTTTCTTTTTTTTTTTTTTGAAACAGAATCTTGCTCTGTTGCCCAAGCTGGAGGGCAATGGCATGATCTCAGCTGACTGCAACCTCTGCCTCCCGGGTTCAAGTGATTCTCCTGCCTCAGCCTCCCAAGTAGCTAGGATTACAGGCACCCTCTACCACACCCGGCACATTTTTGTATTTTTAGTAGAGACAGGGTTTCACCAAGTTGGCCAGGCAAGTCTCGATCTCCTGACCTCAGGTGATCCACCCTCCTCAGCTTCCCAAAGTGCTGGAGTGAGCCACCATGACTGGCGTTGGTTTCTTATTAGGAGAGACTTATTGTAATCAATCTATTTCCCAATGAAAGCTGTAGTTATAGCTGTGGTACAGGAGAGTGAGGGTCAGTTAGTCAGCATCTGGCAATAAGTGAGTTGCAATTGTTTCAATATTGTTTATGTCTAGCCCAGTAGTCTTAGCTCAAATATTTTAACCTCCAAACTACCCAAGTCCTGTTTTGGAGAGAAGGAAAGGAGAAAATCTGTGAATCATTTTCTGGGTGGCATAAGAATAGGGAGAGTCATTCTCTATCCCATTCTGGCAATGGAGCATGGCACTATAAGTTGCTTACAGGTCCAGAACTAGAGCCATATCCTATAGGACAGCCCTCCAACCTTGCAGGCTTCTGCTTCCTATATAATGCTACAATTGACTTTTCCACAGGCCATTCTAGCACTGTATGAGGCCAGATGCCTCTGGGTGATGGTAAGACTGGTAGATTACACAGGCCTGAGCATGTGTACCATCTTCAGTTGTCATAAAAAGAGTTACTGGACAAAAGCGATGTTTTGAAGAAACAGCAGTATTGGGGAAGTAGATCAGCAATACAGAAATGTATGGGTAACTGTAGAGGAAATGCCTGTTTACTCACCTCACCTCCCAGCAAAGAAAATGCAACTTTAAGCTAAAGGACTTCATTTGTCCCTTACATAAGCTTGATTCTGAATTTTGGATTTGTCATTCTCATGTCTGTATGGCTGTTGCATAAATAAGTAGAGGCCAAATTCAAATTATTTTGTCCCATAACCCCTCCCAATGCCTAAGCCGCGTCCATTCTGCTGGGTTCTTTTATCTCTGCTCCCTGTTATCAATCCTAGAGTTAGCTCTATACGTTCTTTGATCACTGCTAGATAAGAAAATGTCTTTTATGACCTTAATATTCCACTTGATCAGTGTTCAGTGATTTGTACATCCTGTCCAAGGTAATCATCACAACTCTAATCTTTCAATATCAAAGCTTCTCACTTCCCCCAGCTCAGGCTGGGTCCGGGCTGCAGCCTGCAGTAGGAAAGGGCAGTGACCCTTCCACTTGTACTCAGACAACATCTGCACCCCTCCCCTTTGCAAATACTTGTCCACCAGAGCCTGCTGAACAGGGGGAAAGGCAAGAGGTCCGGGTCAGTACACATCTCCCTTATCTGGATGGAGTTTAACAACTGTTTAAATCTGATTTTGTTTTCTTCATGGCTGCTTTAATCACTGTTCAGGGACTAAATCACTCCTCAAGTCCCTACAGTTCCTGACATAAAGCTCCACACAGATCTCTTGAGAAAACTTCCTTTAGAATACTCCAGATCAAACCAAATATTCTCTCTCTCTCTCCCCCACCCCTCTTCTCTTCCTTTTTCCCATTTCTCTCCTTTTTAAGTTTCTTTGTGATTCTAACTTTTGAGAAGATTATTCAAGCCCTTCCTGTGGCCCCTGTGAAGTGCCATCACTCCAGTAAGTTTGAGGTGAGGAAAATTTTCTTCCTGTAAACTGAGCAAACTATTCAACCTCTGTAAGTGGGCCTCTCTGCTCTTCAAGTCACCCAGATCCTCTAATGTGTGTACATACTCACCCATGGGTGAGTGGTCAGAGCTCACATGATTGTTTGTGATTGCTTTCTCCAGTCCTCCACTGATAGGCAACTCCTTGCAACATGTGAAGCACTTGGTACCAATTTTGGAAGCATTTGCTAAGTCTGAGACTAAACAGAGTTATACTTCAACATCCTGCTGCCTTTTGAATACCTTTGCTATTCATGTGTGTTTGTGTCCAATGTATGTACATACAAACATACACACACACACACAGCTTGACATGTTTTTCTTACTATTTGGTACATACTTCTATGCTACTTTTTTCTCACTCAGCTATTATAATTGTGAAATTTACCTATGTTCGTGTGTATAGCTCTATAGCCTACATTTCAGCTCTTCTCTTGTATGACAATGTACTGTGGCAGGTTGGATATACCCGTCTATGCCTCACTGTATATGTTGTCTGTAACTGCTACATCATTGGAAAAAAGAAGCTCAATGATTGGTGGGCAAATTTTGGATTTTGGAGGCACCATATTCTACACTGGAGTATGCTCTGTTATCCCATAATCCCAGTAGTCTATGTAAGACTACTGCTTTTCACTGGTGATATTTTCTGTTCATGACAATCAGTCTAATTATCCATCTGTCCCACTTCTTGCCCAATAGTATTATAGGCACAGAAACATGGACTTTCCATAATGAAGGCTGATCTGGCTACCATTACTGGTGAGGTCCTAACCTGACAAATAGCAAAGAACAACACTATGCCCCAGATATGGCAATCTTCCCTGGGCAAACTTGCCAGCAACTTGGTGGCAGGATGGTTACATTGGACCTCTTCCATTGTGAATGTGTGTCTCAGTCCATTCAGGCTGCTATAACAAAATACAATAAATGGGGTAGTTATATACCCCCAACAAATATTTCTCATAGTTCTGGAGGCTGGGAAGTACAAGAATAAGATGCTGGAAGATTTGGTGTCTGGTGAGATCCTGCTTCCTAGTTCAAACGTGGTACCCTCTGACTGAGTCCTTACATGGTGGCATGAACAAGGGGACTTTTTTGGGTCTCTTTTATATGGACACTATTCCCATTCATTAGAGCTCCACCCTCATGACTTAATCACCTCCTCAAAACTTACCTTTTAATATTATTACCTTGGGGATTAAGGTTTCAGCATATGAACTTGGTGGGGAGATGGGACACAAACATCCAGATTGTGGCAAGGAGGCAGATATTTGTCCTCATCATAATAGACACATATTCAGGGTATGGACTGCCTTCCCTATCCATAATACTTATACCAGTATCACCATATGTAGACTCACAGAATGCCACATACTTCATTATGGTATTCCACATAGCATTGTTTTTGATCATACAATTGATTTCACATCAGAGGAAGTTCAGTATTGGTCTTATCATATAACCCATCACCCAAAAGTGCTTGGCACAATTGAAAGGTGGATAGACTTAATGAAAACTCAGGAACCCCCCTGGGGACAACACCTTGAAAGGATGGAGTTCTATCTAAGAGGATGCTGTATATTCTTTAAAATGGAGTCTATCATACGATGTTGTTTCCCCTATCGATAGAATACATGTGTCCAGAAATTAAGGGGTGGAAGAAAGAGCTACTTCTCTCACTAGGACCTCTCAGATTTTTTTGTTTCTTCTTGTCACTTTGAGCTCTGCTGATTTGGAAGTGTCAGTTCCCAAGGAGGAATGTTTCCATCAGAGATCATATGAGTGGTTCTGCTGAGTAGGAAGATACAACTCCCACCTGGCCATTTTGAATACTTCATGCCATAGAAACAATAGTCAAGAAGGGGATTATGTTACTGGCTGAGGTGATTTACTTTGATTACTAAGGAAAAATCAGATGCAGCTACATTATAAAAGAGGGAATGGGGGAGGTTCATATTTGGAATCAATTCAGGATTTTCTTGGGTTCCC